AACAGAGAGAGAGAGACAGCGAGAGAGGGAACACAGCAGGGGGAGTGGGAGAGGGAGAAGCAGGCTTCCCGCTGAGCAGGGAGCCCAATGTGGGACTCAATCCCAGGACCCTGGGATCATGACCTGAGCTGAAGGCAGACGGTTAACGACTGAGCCACCCAGGCGCCCAGGGTAGGAGGTCTTCTAAGGAAAAGAATGCATATGGCCAGTAAGGATGCTTGAGTTCACTCATAGTTAAATACAGCTCAAAACTGGAAGATTACATTTTGCAAAAATTTTTAAAGTTCAATAATGCTTTCAGCCACTGTTTGTAGAGTGTGCAGGAAAGCCTTTTAGAGGACAATTTGGAAGGATCAGTCAAAATTAAGAATATCCATACATTTGACCGAGCAATTATAATGCTGGGAATTTGCTCTGTAGGCGAGTGAACCAAATATACCAAGATTTCAGTGCAAGAATGTTCACTGCTCTTGTATTACTGTTTTATTTATAACTTAACGTATCAATTTATGTCGTGTCGTTTATAAAGGTAAAAAGCACTAAACAACCTTTACACTTTATCATTACAGAAGTGGTTAAGTTGGTGGGTCTCAGCTGGGGCTGGTTTGCCTCCTCTAGGGGACACTTGGTAATATCTGGAAATGTTTTTGATGGTTGCAGCTGGGGAGAGGTGCCCCTGGCGTCCAGGGGGTAGAGGGTAGAGATGCTGCCAGACATCCTACAATGCACAGGACAGCCTCTCATAACAGAGAGTTATCAGGCCCAGAATTTCCATAGTGCCTAGATTGAAAAACTCGAGGTCAACTCAGGTTAACTCAAGTATAGTACATTGATACAGTACAGTATAATGCACCATGAAAAAGAATGTCCTGATATGGAATCCCCAGGCTGTAAAAAATGCAACGTAGGGAAGAGTGTGGATAGACGAATTTCTTTTTTCCAGAAGAAGACACAACCTATATTGTACGCTTCTCAGTAGGCACATAAAAATGAGGAAAAGGTGTTTTTGGGAGAATTTGGTATTTTTGACATTTTTTTTTTTAAATGGAGGTAGGAACAGGAAAACTCCACAGCTTTATTGGACTTCATTGTGTAGTGCTTTGATTTCTACAGTTGCCTGGACATTCTAAGCTTCCCCAAAGGCCTCACGCCCATACGCAGATGAGAAGGCATCCCCTACTTTCATTTTTAATAAAAAGCCAACAAGAGTGAGCTGGGCATTGGAACTAGGGGCCATTTTTGTTTTCTTGTTTGTACTTTTCAGCATTCCCTAACATCATATATATTTGCATGTTTGTGCATTATTTTAAAAAAATGTGCTTAAGTCACCCTTATGTCCAAAATAGAGGAGTTCAGAAAATCAGGGACCATCTACAACAGCACTTTAAATTGCTGTGTCTCACCTTCGTGAAGTAACATGGACAAATATTCATGCATTCATGAGAAATGACAAAAACCAGAGTTAAGCCCAAATATATATAAAAAGGTCCTTAGGAAAAAGATCAGAAACAATGCCGGAATATGCCGTTTGGGATGTTACTATTTTATATATACCTCTATATTTTTCACTCCTCTGGTTTTTTTGTTCGAAGCTTATCTAAGGTAGTTTTATTTCATGATGGAGAGAAGCTCTGTGTTTAGTGGTGAGGGAGAAACTGACAGGTGAAACGCTGCGGGGACCTTTCTGAATTCGGGAATTTGGCCCACGTTTCTTCATTGGGTTGCACTTCTATTATTGGGTTGATAAAGGAGGGAAAACTTTTCTTCTTGCAGAAGAACGTTATGGAATTCCTGGCGCCCCTGAGACCAGTGGCCATTCGGATAGTGAGAAATGCTCACGGGAACAAAACAGGTAAGGCCTGGGCTGTGCAGGGTGGGTTCGGGGAGACAGAGGGCAGAGATGGAAGGTTGGGGCAGCTGCCTCGGGGGAATGTTTTCAGGGTAGCTGTTGTGTTCGCTCTTAGTGTCCCCCGTTCAGTGGAAGGGTGGAGGCGCTCGGGACAAGGCGCTCGTCTGCCTCCGGTGGTGGCCTAGTATGTAGCCTGCCCCTGCCACCCCCACCCCCTCCACCCTCAGCCTATGCTTGTGTTTGTGGGCTCACCTGTTCCGTTTAAACACATGTCCCTGGTCCTGGGGCTTTTGCTCGGCCAAGTCCACGAGCAGCTCTGCTGACGGGCAGCACTCTGAGTTGCCGAGGATGTGTGGTGTTGCCCTGGCGCTGCCCTCTCCCCCGCCTTCCCCGCTCTGGGTGGCCAGCCCCCTCCCCAGGCTTCAGAGGAGTGGGGAACATGCTGGTAGGAAGGGTCTGAGCGTGGAGAGCTGGAAGCCTGCCTGTGCCTACTTGCTGGCCAGGTGCAGAGGCTGCAGGACTCAGAGCAGCAGAATCGGTGCCCCTCAGAGAGCCACGCTGAGGGCCTCCGGCTGGGGCAGACCAGGCAGCACTGGGCAGGCGGGGTGTCCTTGGTAAGAAGACTCTCTCATGGGCAGAGGGGTTGGGAACCGGGGGGGGCGGGGGGGCTGGCTGTCTGGGGAAGAAAGAGCTCCTGCCTTAAGGGTGGTCTTGTCGCCTTTGAGTGTCAGCATTTCCTCCCCAGCTCTCTGAGCATGAAGGCCTGCTTACCAGGCAGCTCCGTTTGGCCAGCCAGCTTTGCCTCCTTGCACACTTACCGAGTGCAGTAAAGGAGGGGGTGACGAGCGCCTGTCCAGGCTCAGATCCCAGCTCAGCCGCTTATAGGCCCTGTGACCCTGGATGAAAGACTTAGCCTCTCTCTCCTCACCTGTGCAGTGGGGCGGTCCTAGCTCGTGATGTTGTGAGGATTCGGTGAGTTAACACACACGGCATTTAAACTATGCGGAATGTCTACTGCACACTCCCTGAGAGCTGCTATTAATAGTGGTGGAGAGGGCACCCCTGCTTTGATGGCACTTTGGAGACCACAGGGTGAGCAGGGGTTGGCCAGAGGGAGAAGGAAGGAGCATATCGGAGCTGTCAGGGCTGAGAGAAAAGCGTACTGGGGGCCCGGGAGCTGGAGGAAACTGGCGTATGAGAATAACGCTTTTGAGGAGAGACAGAATGTTCCCTCGGAAGAGCTGGTGAGGGGGCCGGGGAGCTCACTAATGACCATGGACTCCAGGCTGGGTGCAAGAGCGCAGCAGGGGCTAAAGCATGGGGAGGCCACAAATGGATATAGAACAGTCCCTGGCTGGTGACAGAAGGGTCCTGGGGCTGGGCCCACGAGGTACAGGTGGGCTGGGTGGGGCGTTTGCAGTCATCCAAGGAAGGATCGGCAGTGGGCTGGACTGGGGTGTGGCAGAGGGGGAAGGAAGGGGATGGAGGACGTTTATGGGGATAGATGAGGTGCCTGTCTTTGGGAACAGAGAGGAAGGAGGAATCCTAGGAGGGAATAAAGAGCCTTGTGATAGAGCCCCGGACCTGTGGGCTTCGGACCAGGTTACAGCACTGCTACCTCTTAGCTGTGATGCTCTGCTGTTCATGGGGTTGAGGCCCTGTGAGGTGGAGGATGTGAGCCCTCCCGTGCTCCAGGAAACAGTCCCGCATGCTTGTTTGTGTGCACGGGGCAAGCGACAGAGTCCTTGTGGAGGTAGCCACTCAGGTGCTAAGCTGGTCACACTTCCACCTCGGCACGTCTCCTCCAGAGGAGGCTACGGAGCAGGCCCTGGTTCGGGTGGGGTGAGGCTGGAAGGGAGCTGAAGGCCTCCTGTGTTCCTGCCTCCTGTGGTCCTGCCTCCTGTGGTCCAGCACCTTCGTCTGGAAACCAGCCCGTGGGGTCTCAGCACTGCCTGCAAGGAGAGGTTTGGCCGGGGGTTTGGGGAGAGTCCGCTTGTATTTTGCAGACTTGGCAAACATAGGGGTTTTCCCCCACTTTCTGCTCAGATTCCCCCAAACAGCCAGCACAGTGTGGGTGTTCCTCTGTGAGTCCCACCCGTGTCTGCAGAGTCTCCCTTTGTCACTGTCCTTTCTCAGGGTACATCTTTGTGGACTTCAGCAGTGAAGAGGAAGTCAAGCAAGCTCTGAAATGCAACAGGGAATACATGGGTAAGGAACCAGCCTCTGCCTGGTTGCAGGGCTTCGTTCGCTCATTCGTTTACTCCATACGTTTTGATGGAGGGTCTGCTGTGTGCCCAACACTGGTCTAGTCACTGTGCATACAGCAGGGAGCAGAATAGACCAAAACCTCTGCCCTCCTGGAGGTAAGAGTAAGGTGACATAGAGCAAGAAGAGACAGTCATCAGATGGGCCGGGATTGGAGCAGGTGCATTTTTTTTTTTAATAATTTTTTTATTGTTATGTTAACCACCATACATTACATCATTAGTTTTTGATGTAGTGTTCCATGATTCATTGTTTGTGCATAACACC